ATCTGATACTTTAAAACTTTTACTCAAGTAATATTGCTTAAAGTAGACTTAAAGTAATTTTTTGGTAAGATACTTGTTCACTGATGCTTACAGAGATAAAAGATATGTATTTTTTTTCTTTTGTAGTCATCTGAGTCTCTACGATGGTGTGAAACTTTTGGAGCTACTGGCTGACAAAATCCACCTGACGACCAGCAGCTTCATCAACATCAGGTAATGCTGTGATAAGGTGCACGTCGGTGTGTCACACATCTCTCCTCTGAAGCCTTGAACAGGCGTGACCTTGTTTGTGTGTCGCCAGCGTGGTTGGACCGGCGCTGACTTTCCGAATCCGTCAAAACGAACACAACATGACGGCTGCAGAGGTGGCTGCCAAGGCCGGTGAGACTCACACGATGGCTCCTGTGTTACACACGTGTGCAGAAACATGAAGTACAAACTCTCTATCATCTTATTCTGTGCACTTCCCCAACTTTTTATTCATTTGTGTACCTTGACAGTATCTGAAAAGAACTTCCTGGAGTCTGAGACTGGCCTGAAAATAGTACAAACTGGTGTTGGAGAGGTACAGCACACACACATGGACATGCCACTGCAGCCCCCTCCCCCCTTTTTATTTTTGTTTTTTTGTTTTTGCACATATGAAGCAGTTGTCAAGCCATCTGGGATATAAGATCATTCATTTTTATTAATGAACCGTTCCGATTGTAATCCAATCACACATGTGCCCCAGTTTCAGAGATTAACAGAGCAGCTAGCGTCAGATCCCAGCAATAGTTGTCATCACATTTTACTGCTTATTTCAGTCCACACTGATATGTGTGGCTGTTTTTGCTGTCAGAGTAAGAGTTGAGAATAAAGAGGATTTCCTTTTGCTGTGGGAGTATATTTTTATATTACATCCTATTTATATTTCACACTAAAAGCACAGGAAGTTTTGCATTTGAACGCCAAAGCAGAACATCTCACCTGTAAGGTTTGTTTATTTCATCCACAGCTTTTTAAAGCTGCATTTCTGTGAGTCACTGTTTTTTTTTTTTTTTTCACCTCGTCTTGCGTGCATGTGTACCGCTGTGGACAGAGTTAATGTATGAGGCGATGCTTTCTGACAGCCTGTTTTTCACTTGTTGCCATGGCTTTTCAGCTCTTTCAACTCCCTCCCCTCACTTTGGCTCCCAGTTCCCAGGTGCTATGGCAACTGTCACACAAGTGTCACTAACCTCATTATTCACAGAGGCAGGCCTCCACGTTTCCCTCACTTTGAGTGTAATAGATCATTAACAATTTAAGTGTAGGATAACACACATACATATTCAGATCATTTTAGAATAGAATAGAATAGAATAGAATAGAATAGAATAGAATAGAATAGAATAGAATAGAATAGAAT